GTCTCCATCTCCTGACCTCGTGATCCACCTGCCTCGGCCTCCCAAAGTGTTGGGATTACAGGCGTGAGCCACCGCGCCCCGCCAGCCCTGACTAAATTTCTAAGGGCTCCTAGTCCTGATGCCTAATTTTTGGAGTGGACGTGGCTCCTGTTCCCTGACACCTAGTTTTAAAGGGTAAACCGGCTCCTGGCTCCTGCCTGTTTGCAGTAGGGTGGCGCCTAGCTCTGACCTCCAAGGTCTGGGGACTGCGTCGCAGCCGCCCAGTCCATCCCACTTTCAATCCTACAGGCCCCTGCTGTTGCTGCCGCTGCCGCTGCCGCTGCTCCTAGCTGCCCAGTCTGGCGGGCTCAGTCCCGCGTTGCCACGCATGGGAGACCGCCTCGCGGAAGCGCTGGATGTGGCTTCGCTGATGCACGTTGGACCGGGCCCTGGACTGGGCTAGGGGAAGGGCAGGAGGGCGGAATTGGGCCCGAGGGCCGGGCCTGGCCGACCCCCGACTGCTCCGCCTCCATGGAGGCTGGCGGCCCCGCAGAGCCTCCCGGTGGCCCTGGAGTGCGGGTTGTCCTGTCCGAGATCACCCGCAATTGGGCGAGCTGTGCATGGGGCGTGGCCGAGGCCGTGGTTTGGTTGCAATTGGCCAGCGGGACCTAAGTGTTGTCTCTGAAGAGCATGGGCGTTAGTCTGGAGGGTCCTGGGAGAGTGATCTCTGCCCCATCAAATGGCATTTAGGTCTAGGAAGCAGGTGTGGGCGGGGCCTTAGGGCGAGGCACAGACATACCCCGAAGTGGTTGGATTGTAGACCGCAAGGGGCTGGATCGAACCCCCAAAAGACACTGGAAGGCTGTGTGGCTGAGGAGGGTCCAGCAGGTCCGGTGTTTCGTAGGCTTTACAGGAAGGAGCTCCACTTTCTCAAGAGTGTGCAGATGTGATCTAGGTGTGTCCACCCGATGGCAGTTGTGGGGCCGGGCGGATGCTGCCCCAGTACAAAGCTGATTTGGACCTAGGGCCTCTGGACTTCCCTGATTCTCTGCTTGCATCTCCAGCAAACTCCTGTCCCGTTGGCTGCCTTCATCCACTCTCTCACCTCTCTGCCTTCAGAGTAAAATTGCAAGATCTGTGGTGCTTACTGGGATCTGATAGAGTCTCTCGGCATGCACTGTCTATGCAGCGGGGGTCCACGTGCAGCGGGGGTCCATGTGCAGTGTGTGCCTCTTCTTAGCCATGCTGGACAGCACCACCCCTGAAAAGCAGCTCCCCTGTTTACCCAGAAAGCCGTCCAGAACCTCCTGGAAAAGGTGGCCTGATAGCAGTGGCCTCGGATGCCAGGCTCAATGCTTTGAACTTTTCCTGTGGGCTGTCAGGACCCATAGAAGGTCTTTGAGCAGGTGAGTTTGGAGCAGACCTGGTAGGCAAGCGAACAGGTGGATGCATGCACTGGAGATTCCATGGGCTCCCCTGTGGACATCTCTTCCCTTTGGGAAACTGCCCTGAGTGAGGGTCTAAGGGCAGGATTTGCATTGAAATCCTAGCTTTGCTGCTGTCAGCCCAACTTTTAGGCAACAGGGTCTTGGTTAGATGTGACATTTCCAAGTCCATCTTGTATCACAGCCTGTCAGCTGCAGCTCACTCATTCAATCTATTGTGGTTCAAGTTCCCAAGAAAAGGAATCGGTCTGGTCTACTCTCCAGGCCAGATTACATTTACTTGCCTAGAAATTGTCTGCCCTTAACTCAAGACTTTGCACTGTGGTTCGCATTTGTAATCCCAATACTTTGGGATGCCAAAGCAGGAGTATTGCTTGAGCCCAGGAGTTAAAGACCAGCCAGGGAAATATAACAAGACCCTATCTCTACAAAAATTAAAATTAGGTTGGGTGCAGTGGCTCATGCCTGTAATCCCAGCACTTTGGGAGGCCGAGGCAGGTGGATCATCTGATGTCAGGAGTTCGAGACCAGCCTGACCAACATAGTGAAACCCCATCTCTACTAAATACAAAAAGTTAGCTGGATATGGTGGCGCAGGCCTGTAATCCTACTTGGGAGGCTGAGGCAAGAGAATCACTTGAACTCGGGAGGTGGAGGTTGCAGTGAGTCAAGATTGCCCCATTGCAGTCCAACCTGGGCAACAAGAGCGAAACTCCCTCTCAAAAAAAAAAATTAAAATTAAAATTAGCCAGGTGCATGCCAGTGGTGCATGCTTGTGGTCCCAGCTACTTGGGAGGCTGAAGTGGGAGGATTGCTTGGGCCTGGGATTGAAACCACAGTGAGCCAACATTGTACCACTGCACTCCAGCCTGGACAACAGAGTAAGACCCTATCTCAAAAAAAAGAAAAAAAAAAAGAAAGAAAAGAAAAGAAAAAAGACTTTGCCCTTGAGTCAAGACTTTACCCTTGGCTAAGATGGATGCAGGAGGTGACATGGTACAAAATGCTGCAGCAGAGCGTGTGTATGTGCTGGAGGAGGAGTGGACTAGGCCAGTGATTGACATCTCCATTCCAGATATGTACTTACCTTCCCTGCTGGGCCCCTCCATATAGGAGCATTACACGCTCATTTGCTGCTTACAATAGGCTTGGCTATAGGACTTGCTTTGGCCGGTGGAATATGAGTAGGAAGGCAAAGTATTGACCGGGCACAGTGGCTCACACCTGTAATCCCAGCACTTTGGGAGGATGAGGCAGGTAGATCACCTGAGGTCAAGAGTTCGAGACCAGTCTGGCCAACATGGTGAAACCCTATCTCTACTAAAAGTACAAAATTAGCCAGGCATGGTGGCACAGACCTGTAATCCCAGCTGCTAGGAAGGCTGAGGCAGGAGAATCATTTGAACCCCGGAAGGCGGAGGTTGCATGAGCCCAGATCATGCTATTGCTCTCCAGCCTGGACAAAAAGTGAAACTCCACCTCAAAAAAAAAGGTAAAGTATCACTTCCACATAGAAGCTTTAGGCACCATTGAGTACTCTAGCAGTTTCCCATCTCTTCTCCCTCTGCTCAGGCTCATAAACCTGGCAGTTTCCAGATCTAGACTTCTCTTTCAGCCTGCAACCCAGAATGACAATTACGTGAAGCTGGGCTACAGCCTACCTGTAAAATGATAAGGAATTTAAGAAATAAATCTCTCTTGCTGTGAGCCATTGATATATGGAGGTTGTTTGTTAGCACATCGGAATGTTTAAACAAACTGTTACAGAATTAGTACCCAGAAATGGTGTGCTGCAACAATAAAAAATAAGCCTAGGCCAGGCATGGTGGCTCACACCTGTAATCCCTGCATTTTGGGAGGCCAAGGCAGGTGGGTCACCTAAGGTTAGGAGTTTGAAACCAGCCTGGCCAACATGACAAAACTCTGTCTCTACTAAAAATAAAAAAAAAAAAAAAATTAGCTAGGCATGGTGATAGGTGCCTGTAATCCCAGCT